TGGCTGAAGTGAACTGGCAAATAAACTCCACCACCTTTAACAATGAAAGAGGGACTGTGACATTGGTTGCTCCCCCAGGTAACAATGATCAGATACAAGCAGTGGGACTGAACTGGTGATAAGTAAAAGCAGGCAAATCAATCGAGGAGGCCCTCCTCGACGGTAACAGCCAGGACCTCCAAACTTCACGTGCATCTTCCTCTTCTCCTAAGTGTCAGCGAGGTCAGGGTGTGGCTGTGCCAAGAACAAAGGGAAGTGCTGGGAATGGGACTGTGTTCCAGCCCATGGAAAGGGAGGGGGCAGAAAGAGGAGTGACATGATTCTGAGCGTGGCCACTGGGGGCAGCCAGACTGCAGGGAAGAGCTATATGCAGAGTTACCAATGCGAGCGGCCACACCACCAACAGAGTGTCCTGTAGAAATGCAACCCTGCCACCTTGCCTGCCACCAGAATGGGTAAGTAGCTGACCTACTCCAACCCCTTCCCCTCCTCACCACAGCCATTGTCAGCAGCACCAGGGGGCTGAGGAGAGACAGAAGGCCTCTGGCAGCCTGGAGGGATTAGCGGGGCAGACAGACCCCTGGTAACTGGAGGGGCTGTAGTGGGAGGCAGAAAGCCTCTATCAGCAGAGAGGTTGTGTGTGTGTGTTCATGGAGGGGGGGACAGAATCTGTCCTCTTGGCATCTACAATGCCTGAATCTTTTGCCCAGGCCTCAGATACTGCTGCCTTTCTAGGGTAGGGATGTCAGATAACAGCCACTAGAAGATACTGCACAGACTTTGTTCATGCAGAAGGAAGGGCTGGGAATTCACCTCAAACCGCCACTGTATCACAGACGTGTAGGGCAGGCAGGGGACCTCAAAAGGTCATCAGTTTTGCCCCCTGTGCTGTGGTAGTGTTACTCCAACCTGGAGCAGACCAATGGGTGTTTGGCCTTCGACAGAGATTTCCCAACATCCCCAGATAACCTGTTCCAGAGCTTAACTGCCTTTAGAGGTAGAACATTTCTCATAACCTCTCACCTAAATCTCTCTTGCCGCAGACTACACCCGTTCTGCCTTAACTTCAGTGGACATAGAGAATACTCCTCCTTATAGCATTGGCTTAGCAGTTGGCTATCATGTTCCCCATCAGCCATGTCGTCTCCAGACAGAACATGCTCTGCTCTGGATCCTTCCCAAATTGCCCCCATGTTCCTAAATGTGGGAGGAGCAGAACTGGACACACCACTCCATCTGTGGCCTCCTCAGTGCAGAGTAGTGCAGGACAATTATCTGTCAGGTCTCTTCCTGTTCAGACAACCAAATATGCCAATAGCCTCTTTCTCACCAGTCCTGCAACCCTTCCCCCTCACCATTTCTCTTTCCTTCTGCAAGAGGGCTCAGAATTCACTTATGTGCTCTTAGTTCTCCGAACTTCACAGGCCAACACGACCCAGTCAAAAAACAAATCCAAGCCTGCTGAAGATGCACAGGTGACAACTCCTCACTAAGAAAGCAGCTGAATAAGGGCATGTCTACACTACAGCGCTATTTCGAATTAACTTAATTCAAGATAGTTAATTCGAATTAAGCTAATTCGAAATAACACGTCCATACACCAAAAACTATCTCAAAATAGCATTTTGCTATTTCGAAATAGCGTGTCCACACTGAGTGGAACTTGAACTGAAGTTAAGGCTGGCTGAAACTAGTGCTGGCAGGGCATCAGGTTAGGACTAAGGGTATATCTACACTAGCCCCCTAGTTTGAACTACGGAGGCTAATGTAGGCATTTGAAGTTCCAGTTAAAGCCCGGGATTTAAATATCCCAGGCTTTATTTGCATCCTCCCGTCCGGGCGCCATTTTTAAATCCCCCTAGTCCAAACTAACTGCCCGCAGCTACACTCAGCAGTCAAACGTTAACTAAGTCCTTAGTTTGAGTTCACTGTTATACCCGGAAAGCAGCTAAATAAGAGGGGAATCCCTCTCTCTGTTCCTCCGCATCTTCTCCGTCTCCTCAGACATTCACATCCTGAACCTTTCATACCTCAACAGCCCTTGTATGTCATGTGGCAACGGGCTCACCAAAGTCACTGCTGTCGGAATATTTAGCCAGTCAGCATCTTGGAAGGTCTCATGGAAAAACTGGTGACCCCCTGGTCATGAATTTCACTGTGTGATGTGTGTATGGGTTGTGTCCAAAAGGTTACCCATGAAGCTGGAAATGCCTTATGAAAAACTAGCCAGCCACAAACACATGAATGTGGATTTATGAGTTTATGTGGCTGAAGTGAACTGGCAAATAAACTCCACCACCTTTAACAATGAAAGAGGGACTGTGACATTGGTTGCTCCCCCAGGTAACAATGATCAGATACAAGCAGTGGGACTGAACTGGTGATAAGTAAAAGCAGGCAAATCAAAGTAAGTTACAACTCAAAAGAAACAAAAACTATTGGCTAATTCTACACTGAAATTTCAGCACAAACGTATTCAAACTCTCCCTCTAACCTCGTTTCCAGCTGCTCCTTCAAACCAGGGCTGTCTTCCCACCCTAGTGTCTTCTGCTCTATCCTTGAGGTGCAGCGCAGCCCAAAGACCAAGCCCTCTGCTTACCTTTTCTTTCTGAAAGAATTGAGGCCTCTCCCGACCAACCACAGCTCTGACGTAAGGACTGAAGAGATTGTTTCACAGTTGCTCATCAAGACTTTGAGGGTAACATCCACAACGCCTCTCGTTCACACATTTGAAACCCACAAAACATTCCCCACTCCGTATGTGTAGTTTTACACACAAAGATGATACCGACATCAAAGTAAGATAAGCGGAACCAGCAGATCATGACCTGAAGGTTGATCGGTTACATAAAATAATTTGCTCAAAGCACCTTTGAGTTACATAAATTCATGTCTATGTGTGGGGGGAGGGGGATTCTGTCACATACCTCTCTCAAGACAAGGTAGGACACAGGGTGAACTGGAGTCCAGACGGCTGGTGGCCCTATATTATACCTTGATTTTTGTCTTCCAAGTTTTTCAAGTGGACACCAGAGTACATCCTAAAGGGCTGTCAGACAACAGTGAAAGTTTGACACCCTCCCTCTCTGAAACATTCCTTTGTCTGACGAGTCAGGATGGAGTGTTCTCTCTGCTCCTATGGTGTCTTCTTTCCAGGCAGCCACCAGGAGGGTTTGGGTACCAGGACATCTGGGTTCTACCTGTGGTTCTGGGAGTCTCATGGACTCTAACAGCTTCAAGCACAGTGGTCTGGGAATCAGGGTACTTTGGTTTGGCTCCAAGGTCTAGGAGGCAATTGGGCGCTAGACCATTGACCATGGGAACCAACCCAACTGCTCTGCCATGGGATCACAGCCTCCCCACACTGGATGGGATGCTGGTATCTCTTACAACGGTTCCTACTCTGAAACGCCCACCATGCTTGGCAAAAACGTGGTGGTGTTTATAGGACGTGCAAGGGGAGACAAAGTGAATCCCCAACGTTCCTTATCACAGTGTGGATAGAAACCGCTGCTGACTGGGAAGGCTGGAAACTCCACAGTTCAGTGGATGGAAGCTGAGATCAAAGGGGCAGCAGGTACCAGGTTGGTCACCAGGTGGCAATTCTACTGCTGAGATGTAAGAATTGTGTGAGTAGGAAGGCTGGCTGGGTGGGGAAGAAGCTGCTAGTCCCTGTGGTGATTTACGCAGGGCCCGGTGAACACTGTGACCAGCCCTGCTGAGCGTAGCAACACACTTCCCCTTAACAGTGAATTTCTTCAGCATAACCACGTCCCTGTCTCTGTCTGGGCACCAGTGCTGGTTTCGCTTTCGCATCGTCCCACTCAGACAGAACGTAAACCTGTCCTGCTGGGCCCAGTGTTCGTGGGATGAATGTTCCAGCCGTTGCAGGGTCCAGTCCCTCACCTCCGGCCTGCTTGATCCCGGGATGCCTGAGAAACTCCTCACCCACCTTGTCTATCTCTTGAGTGCCATTGAATATTCTCTGTTCGGGATCTGCAGCCTTGAGGAAAGTGTTTATTTTACCCACCGTTAGGACCAAATTTCCCAGAGGGAGCTCTCTGTTAGGGGCCAGGCTGTGATCCCACCTCCCTACCCAGTCTCTCTGCTAGCAGGGATTTCCATGCAGAGAGGTTCTTTCTTTGGTTGGAGCTGTTCTGGCTGTTCTCTCTTGTAAGCAGCAAACAGAATGTCCCTTCGAGGGAACACAGTGCTCACGCTTCTGCTTTCTAAGTTCCTGGCAGATTGGAGGGGCATTTTCAAACGTGAGCTCCCTTCACAGCGTGGTTGCCCTCTTCACACATCGGGCTTAAGGCCACCCGTGAGTCTATCTCTGGCCAGAGGCTCCACCAACTCACCCAGGGCGCATCTCTCTCTCTCATGGGTGAAGAAGCGACCAGCTCCTGATCTCAGTCTGCATAAACTGTTTACAAGAGTGGGACAGCTTTATTTGGGGTTCTGGTCCCATTGGCCCAGCCTCCAGCTCCTGCTCCCCAGAGAGGGGTCAGTCCCATCCCACGGGGTCAGGGATTGTGAACTAGAAACTGCCCCCCAGTCCCGTCACTGACCGTCTGCACTAAGGCTTTAGGTGCCACACCACAGCCTCTGAGCATTAGTGTAACATATGCCTGCTGGCCCAGGAGGGTCAGGGGGCAGTTCCCAAGTCTGCAGCATGACTGAGCGAGGGCCCAGTGGGTTTCACAAGACCCCAGTCCCCAGGACAGTTCTCCAGCTGTTATAAGAGTCACTGAAACTTGTTGCAGGTTTGTTTGTACTGATGGAGTCCCCGCCCCACCAGAGGTGTCAATCACCTGCAGGAGCAGCCCCTCCCACCTCTGTGAGATGTGCAAATGGTGAGCTCCCCTCCTCCCGCCCTGCGCACCAGGCCCCACTGTCTCTCCAGCCCCGAAGCTGAGCGGTGACCACGTCTGAGCCTGTGACTTCCTCTGTCAGAGCACAGGGGCCCGTCCCCCTCCCTGCACTCACATTCATCAAGCAGCTGAACTGAGAACCCAGCTCCCAGCCCGGAGCCACCGGCTCAGCATGGAGCCAGCTCGCCTTCTGCCTCTGCTGGGTAAGTGCCCTGCCTGGACCCCCAACCCCTCTGTGTGTCTGTTCTTCAGCAACCTCCTCCCCCAAATCCTTGAATCTCTGTGCACCCCCTTCCTGTCTCCTGCCCAGAGTTCTCACCCCCTCTCTTTTTTACTCCTCCAGCCTCGCTACAGATGCTCCCCTGGCCGGTGTCCCCTGAAGGTAACCGAGTCTCCCATCCTTATCTCAGCACTGCTGGTGTGTGTGTGGGGAGGGGGAGGGGGTTCTGCCCATGAGGATTAGAAGGTTGGAGGTTGGAATTGCAATCTGGGGTCCCTGGGTGTCCCTGTGCCGAGCCCTCCCGGGGCCAGGCTGCCCCATGCACGGGCATCTCCCATGAACCTGCCCCAATAGCAACATCTTAATGAGTCGCTGCTAAGGCCACAGGGGGGAAGCTGCTACCCAGCCCCTCATGGGCAGGCCCAGCAGAGAGAGAGCTAGCTGGGTGGGCAACGGAGACTGAGCTCCCCCCTCCACATGGAACTGAGTTCTCCTTGGCGGGGCCCATCACTGTGGGGCTGTGTTAATGGGAGGGTCTCTTTGCCCCAGCTCTGGACTCCTAGGGAGGACACAGGGCTGGTTCTGCAGAGACCCCGGAGGAAACATGATGGGTGGAAAACTCCCCCCTTTCTCTCCCACATCCTCACTCCCCCCTCCCTCCCTCACATACATCCGCCCGAGCTTCCTCATTTCTGCTCGGTTCCTTCTAGCTGCCGCTGGGCAGGCCGGCTGATTGGCTCAACCACCCTAGGCACAGGCAGGACCCTTCCCCCCACTGATCCACTCCGTGTCCCTGGGGGGAAAGGTAGATCATGTCCTGGGTTCCTGCCCTGGTCCCTGAATTGCTCCTCGGCTCAGTGTGGGTCTGCTGGACATGGGCTCTAGGGCAGCTCCTGGAGGCAGCAGGTTGTGAGCCAAGGGGGTGGGGGGGGGGGAGATTTGCCCAGCCTTGTGGAGTATGAGTCCATTTTGTAGTGGGAGTCTGAGCTATTTAGCAATACAAAGAGCCAACTTCTTAAAAAATGAGTCGTCCTGTCGCACCTTAGAGACCAACAAAAACAAATGACTGGTATTGTGAGCTTCCGTGGGCAGAGCCCACTTCTTCAAACGAGATATGCTTGAGTGGGGGGTAACGGGGAGATGCTCCAAATAGGAAGGGAGAGAGGATAGAAAAAATTACCTGTCAATTGTAGTCCCCATGCTAATGAGGCTAATTGAGTGGTCCAGAAGAGTTCCATGCTTAGTTTGTCACATCAAGGTGAATAAAGAAAAGTTCTTCATTAGTTCCCATAATAGAAGGAATAGAGGACACCAAATGAAATTAATGGGTAGCAGGTTTAAAACTAATAAAAGAAAGTTCTTCACGCAGCGCATAGTCAACCTGTGGAACTCCTTGCCAGAGGAGGCTGTGAAAGCTAGAACTATAACAGAGTTGAAAGAGGACCTAGATAAATTCATGGAGGCTAGGTCCATAAAAGGTTATTAGCCAGGGCATAGGAATGGGATAAAATAGTGTCTTTGGCCTCTGTTTGTCAGAGGCTGGAGAGGGATGGCAGGAGACAAAGCGCTTGATCATTGTCTTCAGTCCACCCCTTCTGGGGCACCTGGTGCTGGCCACTGTTGGCAGACAGGCCACTGGGCTAGATGGACCTTTAGTCTGACCCTGTATGGTTGTTCTTATGTTCTTCTCAACCAACTTCTTAAAAAACGAATCGTCCTGTGGCTCCTTAGAGTAAGAAAAACAAATGTCTTGTTTCGTGAGCTTTCTTGGGCACAGCCAACTTCTTCAGATGGGGGGGGGGGGGGGGGATGAGAAAGGCCTCCAAAGAAGAAGAGAGCAAGAATAGAAAAAAATACTTGTCAGTTGTAGTCCCCATGCTAATGAGGCTAATTGAGTGGTCCGGAAATGTCCCATGTTTAGTTTGTCACATCAATAGGGTGCTGAATGCTAGTAGAGTTGGTGTTATAACACATTAACCATGTCTCGTCTTTGTACAGGCCAAGGGAGACTGAATGCTAGTAGAGTTGGTGTTATAACATATTAACCATGTCTCGTCTTTGTACAAACCAAGGGAGATGGTGTCAAATATGCAGATGAAGGTGAATTCTGCGCACTCTCTCTGTAGTTGGTTTCTGAAATTCCTTTGTAGGAGAGAGGCTACTTTTAACTGAATGCCCGGGCAGGTTAAAATGTTCCTCTGCAGGTTTCTGTGTGTGGTCATGTCTGATGTCTGATTTGGGTCCATTTAACCTTTGTCGCATGGCCAAGGAGCATGGCTGGTGCTTGATGGTATAGATCACAATAGAGGATATGCAGTTGTATGAGCTTCTGATGCGGTGGCTGATGTGTGTAAGCCCTGTGATGGTGTTGGCTTGTGTTAATGTGTGGACAGAATTGGTACCGGAGTTGATTGTAATAGTGGGTTCCTGGGTGGGTATGATGGAGGAGTGCTGTGAGGTGGCTGCAAAGAGTTTGTTTCAAGTCAGGAGGTTGTCTGTAGGCGAGGATTGGCCATTCCCCCAAGGGCTATGAGAGGGAGGGGTCATTTCCCAGGATAGGTTGTGGATTGTTGATGAGGCATTGGAGGGGTGTAAGTTGGGGGCTGTAGGCGATGACCAGTGGAATTCTGTTTTCTCTTCTTGGCCTGTCTTGAAGTAGTTCATGTCTGGGCACTCGTCTGGCTGTCGATCTGTTTTTGAACTTCTCTGGGTGGGTATTGCAGTTTGAAGAATGCTCTCTATCAGGGCTACTTAAGTTTGGATGCCCCGGGGTCCGCAATGATACTCACAGCACATGCTGAGGGCCACAGCTTAACTCTGGTTGCATATGCATGCAAATATGTATGCAAATAGATACAAATAGCTTCTCACATTGATCGGCATGAATACAAAAATTAAGGCAAGACTACACAACACACAGGCCCCATTTAAGTCAGTTCTGCTGATATTGCAACATTTACCTGATTTCTACCCATATGACAGCACTTTTAATAAGCAATGGCAGCCCAGGAATATAACTATTAAATGCATATTAACAGAAGACCATTAGATTGACTCCTTTTTTGTTTATCTCCCACCCGGGGGTCATATGTAGCCCACTGGCCGCATGTTGAGTAGCCCTGTTCTGTATAGATCCTGTAGGTGTTTGTCTCTGTGGGTATGTCTACACTACCCCGCTAGTACGAACTAGCGGGGTAATGTAGGCATACCGTACTTGCAAATGAAGTCCGGGATTTGAATTTCCCGGGCTTCATTTGCATAAGCAGGGAGCCGCCATTTTTAAAACCCCGCTGGTTCAAACCTCGTTCCACGAGGTGTACCGGTAGTTTGGAATAGGAAGCCTAGTCCGAACTACCTAGTTCGAGCCCCGTGTAGCCGCGGAGCCAGGAAAGGTGGTGCCGGGAGCCAGGAAAGAGGCAGCCTGGCTTGATGGTCAGACCAGGCCAGACATGGGAACAAGGGCGGGGAGAGTCAGGGACAGGAGGGGCAGGCGCAGGTTGGGGGGGTGGGGCAGATGCAGGTTGGATGCTGGTCGCAGGAGCCAGACATGGAGCAGGGTCCCTCGGCTCAGTTGGGTCACTTCCTGGCTTCAGCAACATGTGCCAGTCATGTGATCCGAGCACTGGGTATCCCGACAGGTCGTTCTATGGGCCTGACCCTCCAGGATCACTGAGGGTCTGGTTCATCCTCTGCCTTTGGGTGAGGGGGGAAAATCAGAGACCATGGCTCCTCCTGACCCTGCCTGGCAGCCTGAGAGCAGGGAGCTACCAAGGCCTCATGGAAGGCAGATATGCAGAGAGCTGCGTATGTGGTTTTATGTACTCTGAGTAGGCTGTTAAAGACTGTGGCCCAGCCAGCCACACCTGTAGCCTATCTGGCATCAGCCTGAAGGGAAGGCAATTTGGAACACCTGCAGCCACTTAAGGTGGATGCGCGCACTATAAAAACACTCCCCAGGCCAGACTAAGGGGGAAGGAGAAAAGGAACAGTCTGGCACAAGGGAACACACTGGAGACAGCTGACATCAAGGTTTGCGCTACAGTATCAGGGAGGAGGTACTGCTGGAAGGGTTGGGGAAGTGGCCCAGGGAGGGGCTTCTCGTCAGGGGGCTAAGGCCAAGCTACACAGCCTTCTCAGGGCTACCCCTGCGCATAGGGCCCAGGGCCGGAACCCGGAGCAAGTGGGTGGAGCTGGGTTCCTCCCCCTGCCTCCTCTGGCTGGAAGGACCAGAAAGGAGTGGAAAAAGAAGGACACTGGATGACCAATGATGAAAGAGGCTCTGGTAGCGGGGTACCTGTGCCTTTGTAGCAAACAAAAACCCACCAGGAAACACAGGACCCAGGGGGATTAGCCCAGACTTTGCCATACAGCCCTGCTCCTCCCAAGGGCCCTCCGCTCCTCACGCTGGGTCCCTGGTCACCTGTACAGGGCTCAGTGCATCCAGCCTGGCACACTCCAGTGGCGTAGCTGCTGAGCTTTGGCAGGGCCCAGAGCTGTGCAGAGGGGCTGGACTGCAAGGGGTAAATTGGGGGGCTGTGATAAGCTGGGGCTGGGACTGGCTGAGGAGTGGGGGGTTACTGTTTACATGAGTGGGGCGCTGGATCTGAAGAGTTTTCTCCTTCCTCCCTCCCCCCTTCCAGCCTGGCCGCCTGCCCTCAAACTGACTGTGAGCCCACAACACCGTGTCTTCCTAAGTGGAGAATCTATGACCCTGACGTGCTCAGCTACCAGCACTGACACCGTGTCTGGGATCCGGTTCTTCAGGGATGGCAAGAGCATCGACTATGGAGAGCTCCAGCAGTCTCAGTCCAATGCCAAATTGCTTGAACTGTCGCGTGTGTCTGAGTCAGATACTGGATTGTACAGCTGTGAATCATGGAAGACAGAGTCTGAGCGAGAGATCCCATCAGAGAGGAGCCAAACCATCTCCATCACAGTGACCGGTGAGAGCCCCTGTTGTGTACTATTGGCTGGGCTGGGTTGGGGGGCGTCTGCTCCATGCACGGGTGAGACAATCTGGGTGCTCAGCTCCAGACAGGGTCACCGTTGGGTCAGTTTCACCCCCATCTCTGGTCAGTGTCAGTCCGAGGGTCCCTGGAGCACCCGGCAGTCTGTGGTGCCGGGGAAGGGGAGCTGGCAGGGAGATGGGGATGGAGGGGGGATTCCAGGAAGCAACAGCAGCTTCAGTTGACAGTGGGACTTGATCAGCTGGGGTGCACTCAGCTCTGCACTGGGCCAGCCAGGGCTAGTGGGTCAGACCCAGCCCCCATCTCTGGTCTGTGCCAGGCCCTGGGTCTCTGGCTTTGGGATTTGGGATGGGGCCATTGATGCTACTTTCCTTCTAGGGACTCCCAGCCCTCAGAGGTTTGTAAATGTAAGGATGTGTGGTTAAACAATTCCCCTGTCTCTGGTCAGTGTCAGGCCCTGGTGTCTGTCTTGCCAGGGGTTGGGAGAAGAGCACTGGTCACGAAGGGCAGGGGGATCAGGACCGGGTGTCTGTCCTGCCCTGGGTGGGGGGGAAGGGCACTGGTCACGAAGGGCAGGGAGAGCTGCCCAGCTGCTCAGTAAAGTTTGTCAATACAGGGCTTTGCAGTTGGGGAACCGCCCTGTCTCTGGTCAGTGTCAGTCCCTGGAGCACCCAGAACTTTGGGGTTATGTAGAAGAGGAGCTGGCAGGGAGACAGGGGTGGGGGGGTCCCAGGCAAGCAATAGAAGCAGCTTCCCTTCATAACAGAAGTTGATCAGCCAGCATGTTTAATTAAATCTAGATTTGGGGCCTGGCCTGTAACATGCGTCAGTGTCACAGAAACATGGACTCTGAGGCCAGAGGGGCCGAGTGATCGTCTGCTCTGACCCCACCATGCGCAGGGACCAGCCCTGAGTGAGCCCTGCCTGGCACGGGGCAGATCCTTTAGAAACACCCCCAGGGCTGGTGAGAAACTGCCTGTGACGGTGCAGCCCTGTGCCCTGCTCTGAGTGCTGGGGGCCGGGATGGAGGCAGCCTGGCCTGATGGCGAGAGCAGGGCAGGGACAGGCTGAGGGGGGTCAGGACAGGGGCCCTTGCAGCAGCAGGATGTCACAGCTGCTCAGCTGGATTGTTTCCTGGATTCTGCAGCATGTCCCCTGCGTCATGTGACCCCGAGCGCTGGGTGTCCTGACAGGATGTCCTATGGGCCTGACCCCCCAGGATCACTGATGGGCTGGTTCATCCTCTGCCTTGGAGGGAGAGGGGGGAACATCAGAGACCCCGGTTCCCTTCCAGCCCTGCCCCTCCCAAGGCCCCTCAGCTCCTCACGCTGGGGCCCTGGTCACCTGTACAGGGCTCATGGCATCCATCCTTGCACTCTCCAGTGGCGCAGCTGCTGAGCTTTGGTGCGACCCAGAGCTGTGCAGAGGGTCTTGACTGCAATGGGTAAATGGGGGGACTGGCCTAGGAGTGGGGTGTTACTGTTTACGTGAGTGGGGCGCTGGCTCTGAAGAGTTTTCTGCTTCCTCCCTCTCACTTCCAGCCCGGCCGCCTGCCCCCACACTCTCTGTGAGCCCACAACACCGCGTCTTCCTACGTGGGGAATCTGTGACCCTGACGTGCTCAGCTCCCAGCACTGACACCGTGTCCAGGATCCGGTTCTTCAGGGATGGAAAGGAAATCAGCTCTGCAGATATCAAGCCAAATGCCAAATTTCTTCAACTGTCGAGTGTGTCTGAGACAGACGCTGGAGAGTACAGCTGTGAATACTGGAAGAAAGAGTCTGAGCGAGAGATCCCGTCGGAGAGGAGCCGAACCATCTCCATCAATGTGACCGGTGAGAGCCCCTGTTGCCTTCTGTTGGCTGGGTTGGGGTGGGGGGGAGTCTGCTCCATGCACGGGTGAGACAGTCTGGGTGCTCAGCTCTAGACAGGGTCACCGTGGGGTCAGTTTCATCCTCATCTCCGGTCAGTGTCAGTCCGAGGGTCCCTGGAGCACCCGGCAGTTTGTGGTGCTGGGGAAGGGGAGCTGGCAGGGAGATGGGGATGGAGGGGGGATTCCAGGAAGCAACAGCAGCTTCAGTTGACAACGGGACTTGATCAGCTGGGGTGCACTCAGCTCTGCACTGGGCCAGCCAGGGCTAGTGGGTCAGATCCAGCCCCCGTCTCTGGTCTGTGTCAGGCCCTGGGTCTTTGCCTTTGGGATGGGGCCATTGATGCTACTTTCCTCCTAGGGGCTCCCAGCCCTCAGAGGTTTGTAAATGTAAGGATGTGTGGTTAAACAATTCCCCTGTCTCTGGTCAGTGTCAGGACCGGGTGTCTGTCCTGCCCTGGGTGGGGGGGAAGGGCACTGGTCACGAAGGGCAGGGAGAGCTGCCCAGCTGCTCAGTAAAGTTTGTCAATACAGGGCTTTGCAGTTGGGGAACCGGACCAGGAATCCTGTTTTACGTCCTCAGTCCTTCCATTTCATAACTATCGCCAGAGGATGGTTCCATTTCTGATATTCCCTGCCCCTCACCAGTTCACTAGGATCCCCACAGCCCAGTGAAAGGGCAGGAGAGACACCACCAATTAGAAATCTCACTCTGAAAGCAGGGATCTGGTCTCCAAAGTGGTCTTGGACACAGGGCAGTGACTGACTGGCACTCAAAGAGACCCTCCCCTCTTCTCCCCCCTGCTGTGCCCTAGGTAGCCCAGCCAGCAGATCCCACACAGAGGCCATGCCCCTGTGGGGCAACATGTGGGCACAGAGCAGGGTGGGGATCAGAGGGGTAGGGGATGTTTTTCCCAGATAACTCTCCAGCTCTCTCTTGTTCCTGAGATGACTTTGACCTAGTATCATGTGCCCACAACTCCCAGACTGGAGACCCAGAGTGTGTAGAACCAGCCGGTATCTCATGCACCAAGTTTCCCTGCCTCTATAATTCATGAGATGACTGTTCCATGCAGAAAACATGATATAGCTAGACTTTAGTAAGGTATTCAATATGGTCTTGCATGACCTTCTTATCAATAAACTAGGCAAGTAGATCTTTGTTGGCACTACTATAACGTGGGTACATAACTATCTGGAGAACCGTTCTCAGAAAGTAGTTATTAATGGTTCACACTCCTGCTGGAAGGGCAGAAAAAGTGGGTTTCCACAGGGGTCAGTTTTGGGACCAGTTCTGTTCAATATCTTCATCAACGATTTAGATATTGGGATAGAGAGTACTCTTGTTAAGTTGGCGGATGATTCGAATCTGGGAGAGTTTGCAACTGCTTTGGAGGATAGGGTCAAAATTCAAAATGATTTGGAAAACTGGAGAAATGGTTGGAAATAAACAAGATGAAGCTGAATAAGGACAAATGCCAAGTCCTCCACTTAGGAAGAAACAATCAGTCTCACGCACACAGAATAGGAAGCGACTGTCTAGGAAGGAGTACGGCAGAAAGGGATCTAGGGGTCACAGTGCACCACAAGCTAAATGAGTCAACAGAGTGACACTGTTGCAAAAAAAGGAAACCTGATTCTCAGATGCATTAAGAGTATGTTGTGAGCAAGACATGAGGTCATTCTTAAACTCTACTCGGCACTGATTAGGCCTCAGTTGGAGGATTGTGTCCAGTTCTGGGCACCACATTTCAAGAAAGATGGGGAGAAATTGGAGAAGATTCAGAGAAGAGCAACAAAAATGAGGAAAAGTCTAGAAAACAGGAGCTGTGAGGGAAGACCGAAAGAATTGGGCTTCTTTAGTTTAGAAAAGAGAAGAGTGAGAGGAGACAGGAGAGCAGTTGTCAGGTATCTAAAAGGCTGTGAGAAGGAGGAGGGAGAAACATTGTTCTCCTTGGGCACTGAGGATAGAACAAGAAGCAATGGGCTTAAACTGCAGCAAGGGAGGTTTAGGTTGGACATTAGGGTCACACACGGTATCGGTTTTACCCCCCGTCTCTGGTCAGTGTCAGTTCCTGAGTCCCCGGAGCACCCAGCACTTTGGGGTTATGGGGAAAAGGAGCTGGCAGGCAAACAGGGCTGGAGGGTCCCAGGCAAGCAACAGAAGCTGCTTCAGTTTCTAACACGAGTTGATCAGCCGGGGTGTTTAATTGAAACCCAGATGTGGGGCCAGGCCTGCACTATGCGTCAGTGTCACAGAAACATCGACTCTGAGGCCAGAGGGGCCAAGTGATCATCTGCTCTGACCCCACTGAGCGCAGGGACCAGCCCTGAGTGAGCCCTGCCTGGCACGGGGCAGATCCTTTAGACACACCCCCAGGGCTCGTGGGAAACTGCCTGTAATGGTGCAGCCCTGTGCCCTGCTCTGATGGCGAGAGCAGGGCAGGGACAGGCTGAGGGGGGTCAGGACAGGGGCCCTTGCAGCAGCAGGATGTCACAGCTGCTCAGCTGGATTGTTTCCTGGATTCTGCAGCATGTCCCCTGCGTCATGTGACCCCGAGCGCTGGCTGTCCTGACAGGACGTCCTATGGGCCTGACCCCCCAGGTTCATTGAGAGGCTGGTTCATCCTCTGCTTTGGAGGGAGAGGGGGGAACATCAGAGACCCTGGTTCCCTTCCAGCCCTGCCCCTCCCAAGGGCCCTCAGCTCCTCCCGCTGGGTTCTGGGTCACCTGTACAGGGCTCAGTGCATCCACCCTGGCACCCTCCAATGGTGCAGCTGCTGAGCTTTGGCAGGAACCAGAGCTGTGCAGAGGGGCTGGGCTGCAAGGGGTAAATGGCGGGGGCTGGCTGAGGGGGTGTTAATGTTACGTGATTGGGGCGCTGGCTCTGAAGAGATTTCTGCTTCTTCCCTCCTCCTTCCAGCCAGGATGCCTGCCCCCACACTCACTGTGAGTCCATCATACCGCGTCTTCCTACCTAGGGAATCTGTGACCCTGACGTGCTCAGCTCCCAGCACTGACACCGTGACCCTGATCCAGTTCTTCAGGGATGGCCAGAAAATCAACTCCAATGTCAAATCTCATCAACTGTCGAGTGTGTCTGAGAGAGACGCTGGCGCGTACAGCTGTGAATACTGGAAGAAAGAGTCTGAGCGAGAGATCCCATCGGAGAGGAGCCGACCCATCTCCATCACAGTGACCGGTGAGAGGCCCTGTTGTGTACTATTGGCTGGGCTGGGGTCGGGGGTGTCTGCTCCATGCATGGGTGATACAGTCTGGGTGCTCAGCTCTAAACAGGGTCAGCATGGGGTCAATTTCACCCCCATCTCTGGTCAGTGTCACTCCGAGGGTCCCTGGAGCACCCGGCAGTTTGGTGTGCAGGGGAAGGGGAGCTGGCTGGGAGATGGGGACGGAGGGGGGATTCCAGCAAGCAACAGCAGCAGCTTCAGTTGACTGGTCTCCAAAGTGGTCTTGGACCCA